CTGAAGGCTCTTTCTTGCACTTTCCATGAATGGTTTGAGACAGCGATAAATAGACAGAGTAATTGCCCCACATTGAGATTACTGTGCCACTCTCCTGTCCTGCAGCTGAAGATGAGCATATCATATTGTAGATGACATTTCTCTCTGAGATAATGAGCTAGACTTTAGAGGGAGCTGTGAGTGTGTGATAATGCAGCACTACAACCATTGTCCTGACTGTTACATTTAAACTTGCATTGTGCTTATGAGAAATATCTGAGGGTGCTGCAAAATATAAACAAAGCAGCTGCTGCCTAACTCGTAAAAATAGAATAGATGGATCATTAAAAGGAGCCAGCAAGCCAGTCTCCTTTGGTGCAGTGAACTCTGTAGGGAGCTGCTATATGTGGTGTTGTTATTAAAGCTATTTACTGTGTCTGTGCGAGTATGTGTGTGTGTGTGTGTGTGTGTGTGGGAGGTGTGTGAATATTGAGTCTGGAAAATATATGCTGAATCACAAGACATTAAAAAATAAATTACATTTTATTTATATAGTACCTCCAATAAAGGAAATGCCGTTTAAAATGAGAAACATAGAAAAGCAAGAGAAAGCAATTTAAAGAGAGCAGACAATTAAAACAGTTATAAGACCAAACACAGGATGAAAGTTAAAAACAGGAATAACAGTCTACACTAGTAAAGATCACGCTCTTTCAGCTATTGAGGTGGAGTCTAATTTGAAAATTATATCAAAGGACTTGCTGTCAAAGCAAAATGCTCATTAATAGCTTATCAAACACACACCTTTTTCTACTCCAAGATGCAAAATTTGGTTATAACTGCGAATCCTTTATACACCCAGACTTCATTTGGGTGTATAAAGGATTTCATTTTCATTTGCTTTTTTATCTTTAATTCAGTACTTTGAGCATGCTAATATGTGACAACGTGCAAAGTAGCACTAATGTCACAAAATGTCATTGATTCTGCAGGTATTTCATCATAAACCAGTGTTTTTGACTTGATAATGATGCTAGAGGAAAAGCCGGTAGATCACTTAAGTTTACAAAGACCCTGATTTTCACTCTGAAATGCAAAGTCAGCTAGAGGAAAAGTCAGGGAAGTCACCAACATCATTTGCATTCATCCTAAAAGAGACCACAGATATCGACACAATTATACAGGGATATAAACAAAATTTCATGACAATCCATGATGTTGACACTTCAGTTGGGACTAAAGAGATGGATCAAATGATCAACATCATTATCTCTAGAGCTGCACCACACCTGCTGGCAGAAAGGAAAGGAAAACGGATTTCACCAGAACCACTTTTTTTTTTAAAAGCAACTTCTGGTATCAAAATAATTCCAAAGATGCCACAGTTGCATCACAATTCCACAGAGGAAATTCAAAAACCCCAGCAGATGGGGAGAGAAGCAAAGGATTCCACAGTTTGGGTCCAAAACCTCAGATGGCAGCTTCACTGAAGACCTTCAATGTGTAGAAATAGACACTTTACAGTAAACCCTAACTACTGATCCTGGTCCCAGGAGACAGTGATACTCTGGACCATAAGGATTTGATTCAATCGCATCTTATCAAATCTGAATGCAGATCAGAATCCTTTCAAATCTCTTAGAGAATCTGTGAAAGTGTACAGTTTCTATTTCACTCAGTGCAGTACTAAACAAGCAAAGCAAACTATATACAGTAGCTTAATATTTACAGATACTGTATATAGTAGCCTTTGTATTACGCAATTGACCAACTTAAGAACTAATTACCAGACTATTCTGGCATTGACACAGACAAATACTAGACCAATAAACTATTCAACCTTAACCATGGATGTTCTGCTGTGCTGAAGGGTTGTAAGGCCTTGACCATGTATTTTACCACTGCTCTGTGACAATCAACTCATTCATTTCTCCTCTTTTATGTGCTGCAGCTGGAAAAGCATTAGTAGTCAAAGTAAAAATACACAGTCAACATTTTACTTTATCATCCTGTGAGTATCAATTAAATGAACATTTGATTTTTGCATGCACTATACAATTAAAGTTACCAGTGCTGCCGTTAACCAGGAGTGAATGAGGAACAAATGACAAGCCACAGTTAGCTAAAGAAAGCACTATGCACGTTTGATTTAGACACAAAATTAACCATGTGATTCTTAATTATGCAAGGTTTATTATTTCATAGAATTAGGGGTTTAATTTTGTTTTGTTTTTTACATGTAATTCAAATGTGCCACCCCTCTTCTGAGCCTGTGTCGCAGCCTGTCCCAAATGTTTTAGATCTGCCCCCAGTTTGACAAAGAACTTATTGTCCCCATTTTTGCTAGTATACTTCTGCTAATATTACACTTTGCTGTTGTTTTGTTGACTTCTGAATCTTTAAGCCAGTTTGCCATGTTTGTTTAGGACAGTATTGGTTAATTACCCTGCATTTATTTTGGTTTAGCAATGCCTGTAATGCCAGCAAGATAAAACAAAGGAAGAGAATTAAAGATTCAATAAGAAATTTATTTGGCCACTAGGCTTTAAGAACTCAGATATTTTACCAACTTGGGACCAGATCCAAAAAAGAACCATTTATCGAAACCCATCCAAAATTATCTTTCCATCCAAGCGTGGCGATGATATATTTCCCTATGTCCAACTCATAGGCGCTGGTGACTGGCCATTGCTGCTCTGCCCTGCCTTTAATTTGACAGCATGTGGGCAACAGAGATATGACTGTCCTTTTAAAACATATCGCCCTCATGTACAATGAATAATTCAGATGGAATATTTCCACTGAGGTTCCTGTGAGGTGGGACCAGTGTCATGCCTCCTGCAACAGAAGGACAGCCAGGAGACTCATACATAAAAGATGAAAGGTTTGATAGCCTCCTTTGGATTCAGCAGCTCTGATTGCGCAACGTAGCCTTTAGAGTCATAGCCTGTGAACTGCCCACAGCCTCTCAGGCCTGGATGCATGGGGCTTCCTCTGTAATATCTGTGGCATATGCACCATGGCTCCGCTCTGGAGTTGGGGTGGGGGGATATAAATAGCAACAATATACATGGATGAGAAAATGAGACTTCGCTGAAACCTCTCAGTTTTAGCCAGTTAGCTCCAAATCACCAGGAAAGATACAGAAACAGTCTGCACTGAAAATAGAATAACTTTAGGTCACATTATGCTGCTACTGTGTTTGAGTTTATCAAGATTTAATAAATCTGCCATCACCTATTTCTGCATTTAAAAGCAACTATTGTCTAATTTTACTGCAGCTCTTTAACTTGCCATTTTCTTTTCCCATTTTGTTACATGCAGTTTAGTCTCGACTCTGCTATGAGAAAACAGACAGATCCCTTCGAGTGCAGCCAGACCTTCTACATGCCCAATCGCCTGACACAAACATGATAACATTTGACTGGAGAACATCAAAGATTGGCATATTTTGACTTTCTAAAAGTGTAGTAACATGCACTGCACTGATATGCTCAGAAGAAAGAAAACCTGTGGTGAGACATGGATTTAATCACCCTGTTAGGTTATCCTTCTGCCTTCCTCAGTTAGCCCGAGGGCAATTCTGCAATGCTAAAAAGACAAAGGCCAAACATTCCAGTTTAAATCATCTGTCTTTGATGAAATGTCAAAAACCTGTGTGAGGAGAGACGTATAACTAGCCACCATTTCTAAACAGGCAACTGAGTTTTCATATTGATTTATACACACAAGGTCCAGGTTAACAAGGACATCTGTCAGTTGAATACATGGAGATTAAAACCCTAGTAATAGAAGCTTAATAGACACAACTGCAGCCTCTGTGACCGTCTTTCGTCTAATAGTCCATCATTTGGCTTCTAGGTTGGATTTTCAGGTAAATCATTTAATTTAATAATGTCAGCAGCTGATTTAAAATCTTGGATGACAACTCTTCTAAACAAAGCAGAACTGTAATGCAGGGCCAGTCCAAGCCTTTTAAGGACATAATTGTATTCAGTTGTACACTTTCCAGTCATTCTACCATCACAGTACAGAAGTAATCTGACACTTAAAAGATCACCATAAATTGCTGACATTAGCTTTCATACACAGTACCTGACTGACAGACCACAGAGCCACATGTACTGACGAACTCATAACTGTCTTCATTTTAAACCTGTTATAAGAAGACATACGAGCTAAAACATTTTTTTGCTGGGCTACACAAGTTGCTATTATTTCTATTACTTCTGCATTCAGTTAACAATAAAAGATGACTGGAGTTTATGTTCCAGACCTATCCCTCTAAAGTAAATGTGATTTATAAGTTTTCTATTAATAACCTCAATGTTGCTCAACATAGAAACTTGAATAATTCAAGAATAAAATGAAATGGTCATCCAGTCAGAGCATAAAGCTGTGGCCAGTGTGACAAAAAGATCATCCTATTATACTGTCATGTATTAATTAAGGCCAAGTATTAATTAACAAAGAGGGGAAAAAAGGAATTGGCTCTCAGATGGGTCGACTTGCTCACAACTGATACGTCATTACAGCAGTTAGCCTGAAGTGGAGCCCTCCACTATACTGTGGTGCTAAGTACTACTTTTACACACAGCAGCTCATTTGCTTGAATATCAACAAGACATGTACAACATGCCAACCCTGCATTATGTTTAGTGGCAACATTTGTAACGCAGGATGCCAATATTACTGCTTTTCTATCTACAATATCTATGCACAGCAACTATATTTAATGCTAAGGAAGGTTTGTGGTTATAACATGGTTACCTTGAGGCAACTAAAACAGGGAAGAGTTACAGAATTGTGGTTACAATTATAACAAACATTAAATGTGAATACGGCAAAAGGTACAATACAGGAGAATGTTTTCCTTCATGTTCTACCCCACCACCGTGGGATCCTGTCCTATCACCTAGCGTCATATGGGCAAATGCTTGATAAGAATTCTTTAAATCAGTGGAGTCCAATTGCCAAAGTCTTTCTCTGTTGTTCAATGCTGTTATACAGTTCCAATCGATCTCCCCTTATTGAACTTTAACTATTGCCTGCAGGGGTACTAAAGTTTGGCTGATGCTCAATTCCTGTCATTTGAATGATTAAACATTGTATCAGTTATTTATAAGAGTGCGTTTCTGTTACTGGCGATTCTGTTCCTGCCTTCCTGCTTTTAAGTCTATGTTTTACTTCAGCTTCAAATATAGTCACTCCACTGCACCTTTCTGACTGTTTGGGTCCTCCTTGCTGTTGCCAGCACTGGTTCCCTTTGACAATGTGTTTTTTTCCCCATGTAGAATTTACAAGCCAATTACCACTGAATTAACAGATTTAAACAGTTACAAAATTGCCTTAAATACATGAAAGCCAGGCACCATGAGTTGTTCCACACACAACATTTGGCAAAGTATCAAATCAGAGCTGTAACTATACACTCCTTGATGGCTACAAGATGACAAAGAAAACATGTAACATTACAAATAAGAAGCCCTTCTATTCAGTGCATTTAGCGAAAATAATCAGTAATCACCAGACCCTGCCCCACTTCAGATTTAAAAATGGAATTGTATTTTTACATCTCAAGTTATAGAGACCATCATTACTCTGAACACTTCTGATGTTTAGGCAGATTCGTTATCAGGGACTACAGTATTTGTTTTTCTTATTGCCAAAAGAAGCATCAGCTAAGTTCTCCATTCCTCTTCTGCCATCATGCGATTTGAGATTTGGCCTACAAACATTACCTCAGCCTGCTTCTATTGACTATTGAGAATCCCTACCACGTTGCTTTTTGACAACTGCAAGAGAAGTGGTAAAAACCTGTTGCATTCACTTCTGGGTTTTGTGTACAAGTGGAAGAAAGATAGCAATCTTGCAAAGCACCACCTCTTATTCTAAACTCAACCTGGTTTAGGTTCCATTTTCTGATCCCTTGAGTGTAAAACTTTGTCTTCCTTCTTCTCCGATTTATTTCATCCTCATAGGATTGATGCTAAATAAGTCAATGGATGTTTGGTGTGGATAATTGATCAAATTTTAAGAGCTGAAACATTTCTTTAAGTTCTGTTGTAGCTAGTGTCACTAAGCATTTTTTTCTATTGTCAACATAAAAAAAAGAAATATTCCTGGCACACAGAAAACAGCAAGTCCAAAAGCCAAATCTACAGGGTCTCATTTATATATTCATGTTTCAGCACAAGGGGAGTAAAACCATAAACACTTTTGCTATCCTTTTTTCAGTGTGCAACAGTCATTCACCTTTCTAGTCAAGTCCCTTTCACTTTTTGCTTTCAGTCATTTTTGAGCCCTGTCAGAAGAGCAAAGACAAGAGAACACACACACACACACAGACCTATAAGAAGCGAGAAAAGATGGACTGATCAGTTCTCTACACAAGATGTTGAATTTAATCTCTCTCCACAAGAGTTATCAAGATTACAAATTGAAGTGTTGAATAAAGGTTTAACATTTATTCCTACAAGCAGAGTTGACCTTTGAACAATTCAGCTTTGGTCTGACAAACAGAGAAAGTAAATCTGAAGTGTTCTTATTGTGCAAATGAATCCACACAGCTAACTCCCAGAGATTAAAAAAAAAAAGTAAATCAATAATGCCTCAGTCAATAACTATTGTAGACTAGTTGAAAATGATACATGTAGATATTGAAAAAAGGTGGAGCAGATATCACAGAAGGACAACGTAATGGTATAGAAAAAAAAGGCATTAAACAAACTCATGAGTGATCCTACGATTACAATTCATAGTGCAAACAAAGGAGGTGGAATTGTTGTCATGGATACAGAAAATTATGTAGGAAAAAAAGCAAACTATGTTGCAAGATAGATTTTTTTTCTAGGAGTCATCTGATCTAGTTGTTAATTATAATACTCCATTAAAATGGGTATTTAGACTCAAGCTTAAAAACATACTATACATCTAAACACAATGATTTACACAAAAAGTAGTGATAAACATGATTAGCATAAGTCACTTTCTTTGACAAAACATTCACCACTAAATTTGCTCTCCAAAAACAAAATCGGTGAGAAATACTGTAAATATTAGTTCATTCTACAGGCAGATGTGTCTTTATATCAAGCCTTTGCAATCCCACCTTCATTCACTTACTGTATGAAAGCACTCAATGTGTCTAACATGCTTGTTGAACATCTTGTTTGACTAAAGGAGACATTTATCAGAGGCCGTTTTCCCTGTACAAACTGTGCTGCCTTTGACACTATAAGAAAATATAGCACTTCACAGACTTAATTGCAGGTAAAGAATTCCACATCAAATCATGCCTATCTTGTCATGCAAAGAATGTCATGTTACAATGTCCATACCCTAAAGTCTAGAAAACCATCTCAATTAGGAACAAGAATTTCAGAACAGAAATCAGCTATTAGACGTGTAGATACTGTATCAGCTCTCCTGTCACTTGCCATCTCATAGAAAATAGCCCATTCTATTTCCCAACACAAGTGTGATGTTATAGGAAAACAGTAATAATACCATGCACAGGCTGTAATTTGGAAAAACTATTACTGCAACATGAAGCCTATTAGATTTTTACATTAAATGCTATGCCCCTCACTAACCTGTCTCCTTTCCTGAATTTGTATATATTTGAGTAAATGAGGTTTTGTGCCTGTTTAATGGTTATGGGATTGTATCTTGTGGGGAGCCTTGCAAAGGTTTTAAACAGGCAGCACCGAAGCTGATATAGAATGGGAAAATAAAAAGACTTTGTAGATTGGAGTGTGTGGACCAGCTTTTTCTTTGTATCTGAAAATGGGTGGTAGGAACATGTCCCTACCAAAATTTGAGCAAACCTGTGCACACACACTCTCTGGAGTGACGTCATATTAGATCACTACAGGGGGAAGAATATTCAATAACATCACTGTTAGACAGTAGTGTGACCAAAATCACTCACTCAATTATAGATAGGCTCGAAACCCCATGAAAATGAATTCCTGTTGGAACAGGTGCATCTTCAGTGCTTCAGCTGAGGCTCTAATTCAGGGCGACAAGGGGACTGAAGGGGTTGCTCTGTGTGACATGTTCCTTCATTACCCATGAACACAATGCTGTAGATTTCACATACACTGTCCTACTGCTGCAAGCACTGTTAAATATAGTCCTCTAAAATGCACCTGTTATTCCTGCTTGAGTAAGAGCTGCTAAGAACTACTATGGGATGTTGCTTTTACAAAAGCTAGCTATATTTTTGTAACCTATCTTCAGCAGAAGCTAGTAGTGTTTGGGCTGAGACACATGGTTTTGATGTTTTTGAGCATCAGTATAATTTTATCTTGATGTATTGCATACAAGGTCAGTCATGTCTGTTGTAAAATCTGCTCATACTGCAGGTTAGCTTAGTCCTTTATATAATGAAATACTTTGCAGCTAGTCTAAACAAATGTCATATTTTTCGCCACTTCCAACTGCGACACAAAATAATACTTCAAATTGTCTGACCAATGCTCCTGCAGTCTGGCGTCAGATTAACTGGCCTCTTTGTAGCTCAGCAGAGTAAAACAAGATTTAAAAACACAGCATTTTCAAGTAGCAAAGAATTTGCCCAGGCTCACAGGCATTCACACTGACACAGCTAAGCTCTGTAGATGTGTTGGATATTAAAATTTAAAGTGTACACATTATTTTGTGCATCTCCTGTAAGGTTCGGGAAGGCGATGAAGTACAGTACGATAACAGCCGTTTACTGCCGTTAGAGCAGTGGCTAAATTGTAGCCACCCCCCAACTGCAGAAACTGAGCAATTTCAGTGTCACAGGTTTGCTGTTCATAACACACCAATTTCAGCTTTCCCCTACATATATTCCTTATAACAAGCAGTGATCCATAACAGCAAAACAGAAGTGGGAGCTGGGGCCACTGAACCCATTCAGAAAAGATGCTGGATCAGAGACTTCTGATAAATTCTGTATTACCTGTATTACCATTTTGCTAGATTTGAACTTTATTCCCAGTCCTTTTTCTTTTGTAAGTCAGTTTAACATATTTTTTTTGGGGGGGGAGTTAAAACCTCAGACACACCAATCAAGATGAGCAACGTCTTTTTACAGTGCCTACACTGATGCAAAACTCTTTGCTGCATCACAGGCTCTGAAAACTGTTGTTCACAGTACAAAACACTGCAGGTATCCCACCCACATACTGTTGCAATGCAGCATTAGAGACATACAGTCCATGTACTGAAGCTATAATTTCATACTTCCAGTGTATGCATTCCAGGTATTACATGATTGAAGGACTCAGACATCATGAGAAATGTAATCATTCCAATTCTTGCCACAAGTTTGATGAAGAATTTGGTTACATCTATTGATTCAATATGAAGCTGGAGCCAGAAGATGCTTAGTAGCTGATCACTATGATTGGAAACAGAAAAACAGCCAGCCTGCTCAGTTTAAAATAATGTGTCCATCGGCACCTCTAACACATAAGCTCCTATTAAAAAAAAAAAACAGCAACACGATGCAAGATGGTACTTGGTGCCAAGTTTCCTGGCTGTATAGCCTTATATTATACATAGATATGAAATCACCATCACACACAAACAATTGTGTTATTCATTTCCTTTGAGTGTTGTAATTTGCAGTTTAAAATGAACACCTCATCATTTTCCTGCAATTAAACTCCACTGTACTGTATGCTGAACATATCCTGATGCATTAAAACACTGTATTGGATGGTGGTTAAGTGCTTCAGGGTGGATATCTGTTTTAAAGAGGCTGGGAAAAAAAGTTTTCCATGGAATCGACAGGAAGGTCAATTAAACATTAATTAAAGGCCATTTCAGCACTAAAACCTGAACAAAGAGTTGTTATACGTTAAGGATAATTGACCTAAAAGGCTGATAGGAGGTGTGTTTATGGATCTCAGGAGATCTAGATCAAGGCTGCATTTGTTGTTACCATTTAACGATTTAACATTAATGATTTTCAGCAAAAGTTAGTGAAGAACAGAGACCTGTACTGACCAAACAGATTTACAGAGAGCTGGGTTTCCTAAATATTAAGCGGATCAACTTAAGTGTTCATAGATTCAAATAGTAAATAATAAACTGCAAAGTCTCCTTAGCTGTAATTAGAAAAATCTTACATAAGGAATTATTTTAAACTTTTAGAAAGTTGGAACGGTACAAAACAAAAACAGTCTCAAATTACATTTATAAATGAAACAAATGTGACAACTAGCCAAATAAATATACACAGCTCATATCATGTCAGCACATTATAATAAAATAAACAGCATCTGAATGTTTAAAAACACCCAGCCATTACTGAAATCTCACAGTCATGTCAGTAAACTGCCATTCAGTACAAATACAGTAGCTTAATATTCAAGTATTCCATCTCTGCCATAACATAACTAAAGTCTGGCTTGTAACCCTGTGAAGCTGTGGTCCTCCTTCTATACTACAAAACATATCTGGATTAAAAAGTAAACAAGTTAAAACTTAATTTCTTTTATTTTTTTCCAACATGGACAAGAAAAAAAAAAAAAAAAAAAAAGTTAGTCCTTTCAGCGACAAGCCATCATCTCTACATTGTCAGGTTTGGTTGGTCAAAGGGATGAAAAACCTATGCAAATGTGTTGTGTAAGGATACAAGGGACCTGATCCAAAAGACAGTCAGACTCCAGCCAAATAGACCAGAGTATAATTAGACCTGAGCCAAAATGCAGTCCATCCAAATAGAGAGATGAACACTAGCACTGCAGCAACACGATTTGCCCTCAATTAATGAGCAATCAGAGCTGACAGGAGTTATTTTCTCCTACAATTCACAGCTCATGCTTCTGGTCTTGGGTCAGAAAACATTTTTCTCCTTTGACGAAAGCTATATGATGTACCTCATGATCAGAGCTGATCATGACTGGAAAGCCTCCTTGGATCCACTACAGCAGACACACAGACCCAAAACCTGCAGTAATACCGCAAGAGCCAACCTGAGGTAACAAATTCAGATCCAGAGTCAGGACTCAAATACTAAGAACCAAATGGATCCCTGACACCCTCTAGTTTAAGCGTTAGATTGCTATGACTCTGCATAAGCAAAGTCAGAGGGTCCAGTAATATCCACACCAAATGTGATAGGAATTTATCCAATAGTATTTCATTGAAATGTCACATTTCCATAAACTGAGCACCCTTTGTGCAGTCTGAAGAGGAAAGCTACTGTATGCATTACTGAAGCAACAGGATCTGTTTGAAGTTGAAATGTTTAACTTTGGACCAAACTGAGAGCAGCAGACCCAACCTACAAGGGGGACACCAAAGTACAAACTGATAATCAGCATTAGAAGAATTTTTAATAGGAATCAGCACTGGGGTAGAGGGGTGGGGGTCCAGAGTAATGAAGCTGGTAATCAGGGTTTCAATGTAGGATGAGAAACTAGGTCAGACCTCATCTGGACAAACTAACTTTATTAAATACATCACAGAGGTTCAAACAATATATGCAATCCTGTCAATAAAAAGTACAAACTGTGACAATTACACAAATATCTTAGCAATTAGCTGAGCCTTGTTCCTTGCCATTAGTGTACAGTGGGCAATTATTCGCATTTTTCTTCATCACTGCAAGGTCAGACCACACTTGCAGATCCACCTCTGCCTTTTAGTGGAGGCTGCACTTGTGTGTTTTTCTTAAACTGTGTTTTATTAAGTACACTGGTATATTATCCCGTTGAAAATTTAAAAGAATAGATCTTGAAATCTATTTTCTAATGCAAACCATCTGTTGTTTGTAAATCACTGGGGAATTGGGAGACCGGTCCCAAAATCCAGCCTAAAAACACTGCCAGAGCCCTCTTTTTCCTCTCAGTGCTTTTGAGTAATTGGAACACCACACTGTCCCTTTTCATGGCCATTTCACCAGGATTACAGTGTTCTCCTACAATTTCTGCAATCAAACAGATGAAATATGATACTGAACTCAGAGCACAACATGATTGCATGCAGCATACATAAATCATCTTGAATAATCACTGACCCAATCAGCCACACCGGCTCAAGCATAGCATCTACTATACAGTTAATCACAGACCGCTTGCTGTTGCAACTTATTACAACATCTTCGCTGTTTTTTTTTTTGTTTTTTTAAAGAAACCTGGTAGTTGCTGTAATTTTAGCTGCAGTTATTCTATGGATGCACCTCTGTTACAAGGCCACAAAGTAGTGCAAAATGGGCAGCACAAACATCCTTTCCAACACTAAAAGTTTCAGTCTTCCCCACAGGATTAGTCTCCTGTTTTCCACACTATCTGGCTGCTGCACCTTGACCCCGGCAGCGGCTTTGAGTAGAAGTGTATGCGCATGTATACACGCATACACTGTATGGGGCGGGGGGGCATCAAATAAAAGTTAAGTTGCATGTCCTCCAGCCCTGAATCTTGGATGGCTCCTACTCGGCAGAGCCAAGCAGCCCTGCATTTATTCATACAGAGCCAGTGACACACCAAGCCAAAACCACACACACACACACACACACACACCACTACCACCCTGCTGATAGGAGTTTCAACACCCGTTGTTGCTTGTTGAGTTTAAAAGGCTGTTGTCTGTGCCAGTTTCTTTGAATCTGAATATTACTACAGAATATAAAAGAGTCTGTGTCCCCCAACATTGTACTTTTGCTGGGATGCAGCACTGAACAATCATGAAGCAATAAAACTCTCCAGTGAAAATTAATGTCACTCATGCATATGGCCTTTGAATAGAGCCATTAAAAAAAAAATCACATAACTTAATAGAGGATTGTAGCTGCAGGTTAGCAGGAAACAAAAACACAGCAAGACTAATCACTGAACAGATTTAACTCTTTTCTGCCGTGCATCATTCTTTCCTCATTCTGCTTCTCTATACCGTTCAGTCTCTCCTTAAAGCCGATGGCGCTACATGAAGAAGAAACAAGTTGGACCAAATATTTAAGGGTCTGAGTGCAGCGAAGCGAGCAAAGCAAAGCAAAAGTATTTCCTGACACTGCTAACAACTCACACTACCCTCAGCCACACAACACACCTGATATCCATCAACTATCAGTTGTTTAAGTCAGACCACAGTGACTGGAACTGGAACTAGTGGAAGTGTTGGAGAAATCCTCCATAAACAGCGCGCACAAGTGTGTCAGAGAGAGCCTGAGCATGTGCTGCCTGGAACAAATTAAATGTGGAGTAATTATGAAAGGAGGCTCCCCGGTGTGTTCCGTCTCCCCGCCAATACTGTCGCACCAAAAGGTGCGTGGCTGCGTGGCTTTGCTCACACTAACTGGTAAAACAAAAAGCGTGAGTGTTGGTGCGCGCAGCCATGACAGAAAACAAAGACATTTCTGAACTTGAGTAGCGTGACTAATGACGAAGAAATTGTGAGCTTGCGTGCAGTACCTCGAAATAGGAAGGCTTTGCTGCTGTTGTGAAGCCCTGCCACTTGGGTAATTCCATAGGTGGCATTTACCAGGTCAAGTTCATTGATGATGTCAATCTGGTAGTCCTGGTCTGATCCGAAAGCCGAAGCTGGTGAAGAGAAATTGAGGTTAGAGGACGATGAGAGGTGTGTGTACGAAACCTGCTGACAGGGTTTAAACTAAAATCTTAAATCAGTTTACAACCAGTTATAGTCGCGGGTTGCGTGCATTCCACTACTTAAAATGGGTGGTTGTGGAAAAACGTCACGCCGTTTTAGTTTATACCCAGGCTATTGCCAATACTACCCACTAAAATAACCCGTATCTGCATCACCTGTGCTCTCCACAGGCTGTAGGTGCACTGTGTGCCACACGTTAAGATAAAGGGTTGCCATCTCTTTTACCTTAACTGCATGCGGGTTATTTTCAAATATTAACTCAGCAAACTACATGTGATTTTTTTTTAAAGCATTAGAGCCTGCTGCAGTCCAGATACACTACCAAAAAAAAATCTGGCGTGATTGTGCGCAACGTGCAAACTGAGGAGCATACAAACATTAAGAAGCCCGTGTCCCTCGCAATAAAATTCCTCATGCGACCACAGAGTGCCACACAGCTTTTACTTACCTGGTTTGGTAAAAAGGAAAAAGGATAACAAAGCCACGTAAATATCCATTTGTGTTAGAGTTGCTGTAAAGAGTCCTGCGCCCCGCTGTGTACCCACACTAACCCACTCTGGTCCGTCTGGCGCTGTGCGCCGCTTCCACCTCGCATGGATGTAGAGGAACGGTCCAAAACACACGAGAAGGGGTTCTCTCACTGTAAACCACATCGGTTTACGGTCCTGAACGCGTCCAGTCAGTCACTGCGTGGCATCGACAGTGACAGATTTCAGGGTTTATCCAGGACAACTATTAAATGACACTACAAACGACAAATTAGAGAGTATCCTCAACCATTAATCCATAAAGATCCCCCCGCCCAGACCACAGAAACTTCCAATGTCGGAGGTGAGAAAAAGGCTTTTCAGAGGAAAGTTGGGGAGTGGAGGACATGGGGATTCTTTGTAATAGATAGGTCGGCAGCTCCGACTTGTCTCTGCAGAGATTATTCAAAGAATTTCCAGTGTCACGGGGCAAATTAACAGCACTACTGACAAAGTAGAACTGATTTTATTAACTGTATGAAGATACTGTAGCCTGCACAAAATATTACTGCCCAGTATGAGTAATTTGTATAATATGGATCTTTTAAAAAAGGAGTCCTGCATCTCCTTCATCCTAAGCACCACTTCTTCCAGATCCTAAATTGACATCCCTTCATCCAACCTCCCCCTTGCCTCAGAGAATCCCTAGGATTTATAAGCATTGCTGCTCTAGTCCTCTTTCCTCTGGGGCCTGTCCTTATTGAGAACCATTAATCATACTCTTCTCCTGCCTGCCTCTAATTTGTGTACATTGTCAGGTTGTCTGGGTTACCTGCATCAACACAAACGAGGGGGGGGAGAACAGCAGCGTCTGCTTAGTGATCTTGGCATGTACACACTGTGCACCGCCTGTGTGAGTGCATTTGACACCAGGGATGGTGTAATGTCTGCTTTGGGATGCAGGTCACCATTTCACCCTCTCAGTTTAGACTGTAAACAATAGCAGCATTCGGCAAGCCTATCTCCTTGTCCAGAACTGAAAAATCTTGAGGGGGGAGAAAAACATTATTTGAAATTACATGTTGCAGAGAAGTGAAGAGAAAGGGGAGGGAAGAAGAATTTAAATTGTTTTTGGACAGGCAGCGAGGTTTACAGGCAGCATAATTCATGCCTTTCAGGCTTTTAACAAGTAACAAGGAAGCAATGAAGCTTCATGTTTGCAAACACTGTCAAAAGACATCTAGACATCTGTTAAAACTGGGATAAATTTAGTTAAAAGGTGAACATTTTTCAATTCTAAGTTACATACAGTATCTATGTTAATGTGTAGTAATGACTTAGTTTTGAGTTCAATATAGTCATTTAAATCTGTTGAAGTGTTTTTGTAACATTTACATTTAAAAAAGCTTTCAATACCATTTGTAATCCACTCTAGACACTTAAACCTAGTATACTAATGAAGCTCAGCTAAAGTCCAGTCAGGTAGGTTACTGTTCTTATTCCGTCTTGTCTTTCCTACTTCCAAACTCATTCAAGAAAAACAGTGTTTTCCCTGTTCACGTGACCACTGTGCAGTCATCTTACTATTGTCAGAATTTAAAAATGTTCAGTTCTGGTTCTTTGTGGGTAAATTTAGAAAGCAATGACATTAGGAATAAAAATGTGTCCAGTTTTCATTAGTGTTTCACAGCTTAGGGTCCATTCTAGAAGTTCAAGAAGCCTGCTCCTTCCATGTCCTCTTCAGCTGAAGGAGCCACCAATTTCTAGACTTAAGAAATATTTCAGAGTGCATCATGTAATGACAACCCAGTGTAAAAAAGTAATTAAAAAAAGGTTAAGGGTTGAGTTCACAATAGTATCTATTCAGCAAAGACATTTAAACTTAAAGAAATAACCTTAATAAATGAGAATAGAAACAGATGCTTCCATACCAGGCACAATGCACCTCTGACTGGTTACAGTATATGATACCATCCCTACAGGAGAGTTCCAGTGATTTGGAGAATCTATGACAAAGAACACAGAGGCTGTTCTGGAGACATTAGTGGAAAAAAAAATACTTAGGTGTTTTTGTTTCTTGAATTTGTCACCCAGTGGTATGTAACCTACATATCTAAAAATATTCTTTTCTTACTATTTAAGTCTAGTTGTAACCTAGATACCTAGACATCTGTTGACCTACAAATCAACAAATTGGTGTTAGCAAGACTATTAATGCACTGACATGCAAATGCAATGATGTTTTTGACATGTACAGTATGCTTTTTGCATCAACTACAGGATGTGCCAAACCTAAAGTGAACGGCAAGAAATAAAGAGACAGACAGTGACAGAGAAAGCACGACTGGCAGTAGCAGCAATGTGAATGTCAGCAGGATTATCTCTATTATTTAGGCCTATTCTCCAGATTGTCTTCCAGCTGTTTTCAATCTGTGCTTGTCAACACAATGCCTACTGTTGTCCCACAGTCGTACACAATGAGGTCACCAGGAGAGGTGCATCCAGTGGGACCCTTTCTTATCAGGGAACAGGCGAGCGGGACACACAGACAAACAATTGCACACAAACAGGAACGACCTCAAAAACAGCACTCTGATAGCTCATTCACTATGAGTCTTAGCTGCCTGACAGAGATGGGGGTCAAAGTTGAGCATTTCCCTGAGGACAGTCATAATGGTGAGGAAGCATACAAGGTGAGGCGGTGCTCAGTCACTGATGAGATAAATGACTTTCAGCAGTACTTTTGTTTTACATGATGGATTTCATTAAGTTCCAGCATATTCATCTCTACCACTTGACCTGACACTTCAGCCTGATATGTTTTTATTATAAAAATAGTACAAGTCATAAGTCCTTATATGCTCTAATATGTCTATGAATCTAGCCCAGCAGCAGGAAGCATCACAGTGAAGTGTCTACGTCAGTCATCAAACTCTGTTGACCCATGGCTTCAGTTCCTACCTCTGAATGGCAACTGCTTTTCAAGTAAAATCTCTTTAGTGAGGTAACTTTTTTTCAATTTAACCATCTCCCAAAAGTCACATATCACTTCAGGCTATATGCTGTTGTAGTGTGAAGCATATGTATTGTATATTGAGGACATACTGGATGGCCAGAAATCCATCAAATTTAATAATGTAGTTCCTTCTGCTGTAAGTCAGAACATGCACAGAGTGTTCTCTGCAGAAACAGGCCGATGATTCAGTAACATCAGGAAAGTCTACTGACTGTATCCCACACATCTGCTGTCTTGCAGGCTGCAAGTTGTGATCTAGAGCAGCAGTTTTCTTCTTTTACATGACTCTTTTGAATTGAGCACTTATGCAGTAGCTTTAAATAATAAAAGCACACACAAAAAGAACTCCTAATTACTAATTTTCCATTGTATTTAAATATACACAATACAGTCCATTCTCAGATTTTTATAGGATTATAGAGTGTGGATACCAGAACTGAGCCCGTCAGTACCCAAGGGTTCAGGCTGGGTTCGGACAGAAATTTCGAAATTATGTTCAGGTCCGGGTCAGGTTAAGACACATAGGTCAAACTAGATGATTGGAACACTCAACTGTGTGCTTCATTTAATGATGAGGGGAAAACCACCCTACAAACTGCACTGGGCTCAAGTCGGGTTCAGACATATAATATAAGCTTCTCAGGCAAGGCACAGGTCAGGTTCGGGCAGAAATATGCAGCCCGATCCATGTTCTACAACACTATACTGAAGATAGTGCATATGATGCCAAGTAAAGCACAAACACACATATATTTATTTATGGGACGGGGGCGACTGTGGTTCGGTGGGTAGAGCAGTCATCTCCCAACCAGAGGGGTCGGAGGTTCGAATCTCAGTGCCTGCAGTCCATCTGTCAAAGTGTTCTTGGGCAAGACACTGAACCCCCCAAGTTGCCCCTGATGGTTAGAGCCATCAGTTGAGTTGGCGCTGCAGATGGCTGCTTAGGTTCTGTACCAAGTTCCTTGTGTGTAACATACTTGGCCAAATAAAGGTGATTATCCTTATTTATTTTACTGTAGCATTCCATCAAATGAAAAACATTTTAGATGTCTTGTGCATCAATTCAAATTTCCACCCAACATATCCTGGTATATTTGGTCTCTTTGGGAACTTGAATCTTAAAGAGCAACTTAATACCCTCTGAAAAATCTTGTTTTTGCTGAGGTTTATATCATTGTCTTGCTGCAGTGATGGTAAGTGTACTCCAGCATAAATATATACACAAAGCATGAACTTCTGTTTTTCATTATGATAAGTCAATGTGGCCGCTGTGTTGGGATGGGATGCTGGGCATCCTAATACCATGTACATGTATGTACATGTATTTATGATACAGGATAGTTGATTAAATTGACACAATACACTATATGACTTTACTTACAAAGTCTGTACTGTTGCAGCTCAGACTGATCAAAACTACTCATGTTCTGAATTGTTTATCAGTAGATGAAATCGTTTTTGTAAACAAAGACTGGGGCAGACATGAAGATGATCTATAGCCTCTGTAAGGGAAAACTAAGCTTCTTGTGAGTGCCTGAAGTTGAATGAGGACCTGACTATCACAGCCCTGGGAACAGCCCCGCTGTGTCTACTGAAAGCCCATCATTACTCATTAATCACAGTGTTACAGCACTCACCACCATAATGCTCAAATTTGTACAGGAGTTTGCCAGCAGTCCTGTGGATGTGGCGTTGTGTGTGCCACTGCTCTGTGTGCCTGCCTTGGTAGTCTTTCTTAGTTAGAAAGTACTTTATTAATCCCCAAAGAGAAACAACATTGTTCTAGTTATTGTACTGCCTTCAGCTGGTAAGAAGTAGGGTTCACTGAATTGGGAGTTGTATCACTTTGATAGTTGCAGTACTTTCTCTTCAGTAAAACTATTTCATATCACATATGAGGTCATTTGGGGGCGGCTGTGGCTTAGGAGGTAGAGCGGGTCGTTTTCTAAGCGGAGGATTAGCAGTTTGATTCCCAGGCTGTCAAGTCAACATGTTGAAGTGTCCTTGAGCAAGACACTGAACCCCCAGTTGCTCCCAGTGATAACACCAGTGTGTGAATGTAGTGAAGTAGTGTGAAAGCGCTTTGAATGTGCTGTAAAGCATAAAACAGTGCTATACAAGTATAAGACCATTTACCATACAACAATGATGATGTCAATGACAACACCCGTTTTTTAACATCATCTACACTAAGAAATAAAAAGTGATTATAGAGAAGTCTGAAGGTGACTAGGAATTGACTATCGTGCAGTATGGTACATGAGGCGATGCTGTGGATATTTATTTATATTTA